GTATATGTAAATATATGTAATGTTCACTTAAATAAGTAATAAAGTTAATGACAAAATCGTCAAAGTTGAAAAAAAAAAAAAAATGGAAGTTAATAAAAAGATAACTTTTTTTAAAATTTTAAATTAAAATATTTTAACAACTACCAAATCAAATTTAATAATATATATATTTTTTAATTCTATAACTATATAAATCTGCTTTAGTAGTTGTTGAAATATTTTAACTTAGAGTTAAAATATCTTTAAAAAAAATTTGGTTTTTTTTACTCTTTTTATATACTTTACTGTACAGTGTAGGCAACCTACAAATAAAATTATCTTCAAAATGCTAATCCTTGTTTGCAAAAAACAACTAATAAAAAAAATTTTATAGAACAATAAAATTATTTAAGCTAAACAACTTGGTGATTTTAAAGTTTTTTTTTAAACTGTTGATAGGAAATTAAAGTCAAAGTAATTTTATAATCAACTAAGCAATTTGGCCGCTTGAAATTGCTATTAAATAAGCAAAATTTGGCCACTTTATACGTCAAATTAGCTATATTAAATTAATAACTTTGCTATTTTATAATTAAATTTTTATTTTAAATATACTGTATTAAAAGTTTTATAGTAAAGTTTAAAACAAAAACTTTAAACTTTTATTATACTGTAATTTAAAATATTTAAAAATATTACAAATATTAAAAATTTTATTATTATACTGTACAGTATTTTTTATTTAAAAGAAAATACAACATATAATTAACATTAATATCTAAGAAATTTTAAACCAGCAAGTAAACACTTATTTATGAAAATAAAAAATGCAAGTTACAAAGCACTTTTTTTTTTTAATTTAAAATATTGACCAATCAAAATTATCATAAATAGAAAAATGTTATCTAATTCGTTTCTATAGTCTCCGGGGAACCTTTATTCAGTTTGCAAGTTTATTTTGCTAACGGAACTAGATATTGTAAATATCAATAACAATTTATCACACGAACGTTAAAGGCCAATGACGTATTAGCATTTTTAAATAAATTTAACGATTATTTGTGTCACAGATCAACCAAGGCCTTAACAAAAGCCACTGCATTTAGGTTTTTTAGTGCAACTATAACTTAAGAAACTTTTCGTCTATAAATACCATTGCTATGTACGTATCTGAATTCTATTTTAATCTTAATGAATGTCATTTTTGTTAAAAAAAAAGTTATTTATATTAATAAGTTGATATAGTTCATCGTCAAAGTATTATTGGAAAGACAGCAAACTTTATTCCCTATAAATGCAAATCTAATGTCTAACATGGATGACTTCAGGCCTCCCGAGAACCCTTATGGTCCACCTGTAGCCCCTTCTCAAAGAGCTGAGGCTCCTTCACAACGAGGGCATAGGGGTGCAAGTCGTGCCAGGCAGCAGCGGCAATGGAGTCGTGGAAGTGGTGGAGGGAGCCAACAAACTGGTTATAGTAGCATGGGATACAATAATAATAATAATAATAATAATAATAACAATGGAAGGGGAAGAAGAGATAATAACAATTATGGTCGACGTCCGCGTGATAAGAGCAGAGAAGGGTGGGGATATAGACAGTATAATGACCGTCAAGGGAGATCTTATCGTGATGGCTCGTCATATCGTGATAGTTCGTCTTATAGGGATGGAAGTTCTTCTCATCGTGATCGAAGCAGAGATAGTTGGCAAGGCCAACGGCAGTATAATGACCGGTCATCACGTTCATATCGTGAAAACAGCTGTCCACCCAGACAAAATAGGTTGAATCAACAACATGATCGACAACCACCGTGGCATCAAGAACGTTACCACCAGTATCCACCTCAGAATGGTATAGTGCAACAAAATAATTGGCCTACAAATAACATTTCTGGATCATCTGGTCCACATGGCCCACATTCACATCCTCATAATGCATTATTATCACAAGGAGTTTCGCAACAGCCACCACATTCATCACAATCATTACCAGGGCAAATTGGTCCTCCAGGTGTGCCTGGGCATAACCTTCAGAGCGCTCATGGAATACCTCCAGGTCCTCCTGGTCAAATAAGTCATCAAGGACAGATTAGTCAAGGGGGTCATATTGGTCATATAAGTCAACATGAGCATGAACGACAGCAATCTTTGAGTCAACCAGGTGCACCTGGAACACATTCATCAATTGGCTTATATAGTGATCAAAGTAATTATCAAGAGCCTACTCCATTTCAAGGTCAAATACCTCCACACATTCAAACATGGGATCAACATGCACAAAATTATCCTCCTCAGCATGGTCATTATCCAACAGATAATTACTATCACCCTCAACCTCAAACATACGAACATTATACAACAGGGCAATATCCATATATTAATAACGAATATAACCAGTCAATTGATAATAAGCACGCGATGCCACCGCATCCACCACCACCCCAACCTCCAAATGTATCACATTTTGGAATGCAACATGCGCATGCAAATACTGCACACCCACCACACATATCACAGTTGCAATCACCAATATCTCCGAACCCTTCATACCAACAACCTCCTCATCCACAACCTACAACGTTACCGGTCAGACCAACTCAGCAACCAGCGATTCCACCTCCTTCACAACAAAGTGCACAAAATGTACCGACTGGATTAGCACAAACGAATGTTACTCCATTACAAATTAAACCAACTGAACTATATGAAAAATTGGGTCAAGTAGGAGAAGGCACATATGGGTTCGTTTATATATTTACTCTCAGTCAATAATAGGCTGGTAGATAATAATTTAATAACTGTGATATTGGATTTGTGAAAACTTTCGCTTTTATAGCAAGGTATACAAAGCTAAGAACCGTGACACTGGTGAAATAGTGGCACTCAAGCGAATACGCATGGAATCAGAAAAGGAAGGGGTAAGTTTTATTTAGGCCAAATTGGTGCTATAGTATAACCTTTGGTAGTCTTTGATACTCAGATTTAATTAAATGAGAACTTACATTTCACCTTTTTACTATTTTACATAAAGTTTCCCGTTACTGCTTTGCGTGAAATTAAACTTCTTCAAAGACTTCGGCATGATCATATAGTTCACTTAAAGGAGATAATGGTTTATCAAGGTTTGTAGAAAGTACTTTTAAGGATTCTAAAATTATTTTTATGTGTGATCTTTGTTTGATCAATTTGTCGATTTTGGTAATAAATATACAATATCATCCAGGAGTAGTATACATGGTCTTTGAATACATGGATCACGATCTGACTGGAGTTCTTTCTAACCCGCAAATAATATACGAGCCACGTCATATAAAGTGTCTTATGAAGCAACTGCTAGAGGGCTTGGCCCATCTTCATGAAAACCAGATTTTGCACCGTGACGTCAAAGGTATAAATAATTCTTTAGTATTATTCTCATTAATGATAATTTCATATTCATATTCTGAATATCAATTAGGATCTAATATATTATTAAACAACCGTGGAGAACTAAAATTGGCCGATTTTGGTCTTGCGCGCCATTTTAAACCTCACCGAATGCATGATTATACAAATCGTGTGATTACATTATGGTACCGTCCTCCAGAACTTTGTTTGGGTGCTACTGAATACGGACCAGAAGTCGATCTTTGGAGTGCTGGGTAATTACGGTATTTCATTTTATTTTTATTTATTTTAGTTTTATTTTTATTTCTATTATTATCATTGTTATAAATTATCATTATTTTATTATTATTATTATTATTATTATTATTATTATTATCACTTTATATTATTATTATTATTATTATTATTATTATTATTATTATTATTATCATCATTATTTTTTTTATTAATATTATTATTTTCATTATTATTTGATTTTATTATAATAATTTTAATTATTTTCCAATTACGTTAGGTGCATAATGATGGAACTTATTACCCGAAGACCTCTTTTCCCGGGGGCGGATGAAATCTCCCAGCTTGAAAAGATATTTGAATTAATGGGAAAGCCAACATGTCAAGAATGGCCATCTATAATAGATTTGCCATGGTATGTGGCACTTCAATTTCCAGAAATTTTGAAGCCAAAATTCAGAGAAATATATTCAAAGTAAGTTTAATCATTTTATTAAAATGAGAATTAGATCAATATTTAAAATTAGATGCGTCCTTATAGAATTATTTAATTGGATAATGAATTTCAATTAAATTATCAAATGCTACATTTTAATCGAAACTAATCGCAGAAAACGCACAAATTCCCGTTTAATGTGCATTGAAAGAATAATCAGCTATTATTGAAAGCAGAGATGATTGAATTTGTAAATATGATGATAATTTTAAAATAATGTTATTTAATCGTTTAGGGTTCTATCTTCGGCAGCTCTTGAGTTGGTTGAAGCTCTTTTATCGGTGAATCCTACTAAGCGACCTTCGGCCCGAGAGGCTTTAAATTTTGCATATTTTACATCTGAAGAACCCTTAGCATGTTCTCCGGGGGAGTGAGTGTCGTTTTTTTATGAATAATTATTTATTAATTTTTTAATCTTAAAAATTTCATTTTATTGTATTATAAAACTATAGGCTTCCTGAAATTTGCGGGGATTGGCATGAATACGAATCGAAACAAAGAAAGAAAAAAACTACTGGACCCAATCCTTAAATGGGAAGCTCCCCATTTATTCTTATTGAGATTTTTGTTGATTAAAATAATAAAAGAATATAGAGGCAGGTATGTAAGACTCCGTTGTTTAACAACGGTTGACGGGATATAAATTTATCTTGTAATAAATCATGATTAACATAATTTAATTAAATAAGTTTAATCGTACATATTTTTGTTTAAAAACCGAATTGTCAAAAAAAAAACAAATCAAAACAAAAACAAAATTTCGGGGCAATTGAAACTTGTTCATTTCTCTTTATATACGAAATTTTTTTTGATAAGTGTTCAAACTTCGGAACAGATTCAGCATCTCTCTCTTTATATGTTCTGTCAAACTTCTACCTCTACGGCCATCTTTCTACGAATTGATTCTTAGAATTCATGAATACCAATTTAGCAAATTAATAACATTTTTATTGTTGAAATCTAAGGCCATACATAAGCTTGCGGAAAGTTGACACTACGAAAAAGTTTCAAGTCTGCTCTAGTCTAATCTGAAAGAAACTGGTACTTATCGAAGACCAGTTCTCCGTCTCAGTTCAGGTTCCCATCATTATTTCTAACGTTCATTATAGAATAATAAATTAAATTAATAATGGTGTCGATGGGAATAATTGGGACGGTTTTAATTCTAGCTTTATAATTATAGAAATGTTGTGCTCGGCGGTATAAATATAATTGGTCAGCATGACATACTCATTGAACATTATTAATATTCAACTTTGGCTTTTTTTTTAAATGCATAGAAAAACAACGCATTATTTGGAGCACTTATAGCAAAAGGTGATGATGAGACTATATATTATATAGTCCCATCATTACCTTTTTCTATAGGGGTTCGTAAGTCGATCATCAAGAAAAGTAAACTGAACAAGGAAAAATGAAGCAATAGGTCAAATATATACTTAATTGCAGAAACAAAGGTAAGATTAAATAGATAAGGGTGAAATTAAATATTAATAGTAAGATATTGAGAATGATAACATCAAACCTGGAGATGTTTATTAAAAATTATGTTCATTTAGATAAGTTTTACTAGTATACAAGTTATTGATAAGCTACTGAACTTTGATTTTTGTGACGTTTTCGTAGAGGCCGAACGGTTTTCTTACGTCATCACGTTGAAGTTAATCCGAAAAAAAAAATCGCCACCTCGGAAGGATTGAGAATATGGAATATGGTAAGTGTCGCATCTTTATTACGAAAGTTTGAAAAGCTTTTAAATATAATAATTTAAAAAGAAATTGTTACCAATAAAATTGAATTTTATTATTCGAAATTTGTTATTTCCTTATCGGATATTTAAATCAAATTTGACGATGACACTCTATAAATTGATAATTAAATTTCGAAAATAAGTTTTTATAAACTTGGATAGGTTCATCCCATTGATAATTATACATTATAATTATTGTTTGAACTTAAAAGGAATAAGTAGTTTATCATTTTTGTACTCACCAACATGCTTCTGCGTATCACACGAGCCTTTTATGCAATGGATTCATTGAGAATTGAATAAATTTTAGGATAAACGATTAAAAACTTCGAAAATCCTTTTATTTATATATTTTATTAATTGCGACTGTCACATGACGTGCAACAAACCATGTTGTGGTACGGTCTAACTTCTGGTCTAAGATAAATTTCTATTGGCCATTGACAAGGTACCGTGACTTGTAAAAAATAATAATTTGATAAAAATTTCTATCGATTATACGTATAAAATGTATCATCATAAATTCTCTCTTTCTTTTATTTCCCGAGCTCGTGTCGCACTTTTGCATAATATTAAAAAAATGACCGAATTAGGTCCGATACATTTGAATATTCAAAACAAGGTCAGCACTTAAATTAAACTTTTTTTTTTTAGTTGCGATATCGTAAAATGAATATTCTTATTCCAAAAAAAAAAAAAAAGTTGACGGACTCTTTAGCCCCAACAACTTTAGAAATAATTAATGAATCTCATTTACACGCAAATCACCAAGCAATGAAAAATGTAAAGAGTAAAGAAACACATTTTAGGTAATCGAATTAAGCGAGTCAAGTAAAATAATTTAATTTGATATTTACGATCAATTTTAAATTACTGTATTAGCGTATCAATTGTTTCAGAACAATTTGAAGGAAAAGTAAGGGATTTTAGGTTTTTGGTTGAATGATCTACTGTAATTATCACTAATTTATTATTTCAACATTTTTTAACCTAAGACAATATTGCAAAGACATAGACTTATATACCAAATTCTTGATGACGAATTAAAGGCAGGTGTACATGCACTATCAATAAAAGCAAAAACGCCCAAGGAAGTAGAACAATAGTTTTTAAGGACAAGCATCTAATATTGATTTTAATTTGTAATAAATTTTTGTTATTTAATAAAAAATAATTATAAATTTAGTTTTTTAAACTTTTTTCTGACTTTTGAATCGAGAAATAATCGTAGCTCCCCAAGCCGTAAACCCTCTACTTAACAACTCTGCACAAAATAATTTAAAACTCGTTCCTAAAGCTTTATTAGACTCTCATTCAACTTTTCGAAAATCTCTCATTACATATTTTTAAAAGTTTTTTTTTAAAAAAAAGAGATCATTATTATCAAGATTAAAAGAAATCAGCTTGGTGTTCTTGCGAAACGCTCTTGCTATTTCCTTGCAACTAGATTAATAAAAATGGGTCGGCGGGCAATGCAAAACGAAAATTAACTTTGCGTGGCCTAAAAATACATATCTATATTTTTTCTGTTCCTTTTTTGATGATCCAGTGATGTAAGTAATAGTCCCAATAATAGTCCAGCCCCACTTCCTATAAATGTTGGCTGGTGGACATAACCTGAAGGTTCATTAGACTTTTTAACTGATTGACGGTTATACGTTTTGCCGAGTACCTGAACGAAAATTTTTCAAAAAAAATCAGTTATGTTCTCTATTAACATGTGTTATCTATTCTTTTTTTCTTCGGCTCGCGTATACGCCCCAGCAGGGCTAATGTCAGATCGGCTCGCAACCTTGAATGTAAGACGACCTCGCAAGTCGTATATGCTCCAACATTGACTTCATGAACTCGACTCGCAACCTTGAATATCAGAAGATCTCGCGAATCCTATTCATATTTCAAAAAAACCATCGTATATCTGTAAGTGGTTCCTGTGCTTTTTCACGCTTACGTTCAATCTCGCATTTGGCAAGAGTCTTAAGACACCAGCGTTGCTTCGGACAATAAATTGATTACGTTGTAGATATGTGATACGGATTTCGTGTTGGTAACCTTGATCACGAATAATTGAAACTATGGATTGAGTTAAATAAGAATAATCCCAGTACACAATCTATAAAAAGAATTTCAAAGAAAAAAATTTAATAATGATTAATGCAGTAATGTGAATAAAAATAAAATAAAAATAAAATAAAGCAAATTTGATGATAATATATAAACCTTGTGCATTTCAATAGATTTTAAACCACTATCACGATGAATATATTCTTCCAAGACATCCATGAAACCCATGTCTGGTTTATTTTCATTTGGATAAGCACGTAATTCTCCAACAGACGATACAAACGATACGAACTATACGAATTCTGTTGAACTTAAAATCTGTTATTTCAGCATTCTTTCCGTTATCACCTTTCCGTGTATGATATCCTATTAATATAATTAATAAATAAAATAGTATGTTGAAAAACAGCATCGTGGCTAATTACTATGGTAATTTATGTAGGAATTAAAAATTACCATAAATTATAATAGCCATTTCAGGTTTGTCATTATACTCGGTAAAAAAAACAATCAGAGTCCCTACTTAATTGTGGATCCCTTGTAAAGCTTCACAATCAAGTTCATAATTGACGAAGTGGATTCACTAGTTGAGTTATTTGAAGAAAGCATTTCTTCTATAACATGTAAATTAGCTGCAGCCGAACGAGAGAATGTAGTAGACGGTCTAGATGTTATAGCTTACTTGTAAGTTGGTGGAGCAGCACTTCGTCTATTATTTCAGTCATTTATATCTTCACTTGAATTTAGGCTGTCGCGATTTTGAACATTACTAACTTTGGAACGATCAGACATTTTTATTATAACACTTCCGTGTTTAACCAAACGGATGGATTGTAATACATCAATAATAATCAATACCAAATAAGTAAAGTTACTATTTCCTGCATGAAAATGTCTTACGACAAGATCATGGCTCCATCAAGCAAAGCCCGAAGAAATATCCCTCGGGCGCCATTGACATCTCTGTCTATTACTACACCACAACTCTTGCATTTATAAATTTCCGATCCTCCAATATTTTGAATATTTCCACACCAACTACATGTCTTTGACGTATAAGCCTCATTTTGAATTATCACATGGATTCCTTTCTCTTCAGCTTTCGAAATCAACCTTTGCCGAAACTTGTAATGAGACCAACAAAGCATCTTTCTAACTGTTTTTCTTGTTATTTTTCATGTTTTTCTGGTCACCATGTTTGAAACCTCAAAAGGAGGGATAATAATTATGGCGAGCTCATCAGTTAAGAATTTGATTGTTTTTCTATGAATTTCGGCCTGAAGTCGTTTGATCTTTCATATAAAACGAAAGATTGCTTTGTCAACACGTAATGCCTTTTTTTTCTTGCGTTTCGAGGTTGAAGATGCTAATCAGTCCTTGCTTGATATAAGATCATCCATGTGCTTACATAAACGAAAGATATGTCCAATATCATATTCACCTATTTTGCCCGTACCTTTTGTTGGAGAATACCATGTGAATGGAGTACGAACTCCTGGATCAATTGAGACTATATGAACATCCGCTTGTGTTTCATGGATCTGTTTCTGTATTTCGCATACCCAATGAAATATCCATTTGTTTGTTTTACGTATATACGTAAATTTACTGTCACATCCTATTTTTTCTGCCGGCCATTTATTATGTTTTCTTTTTTTTTCAAAGTGAAATGGACGTAAGTCACGCTTTCCATCTTCTAAATTATTAATATTTGATAATATGGTTGTAGAATTATGAAGATAAGTAGAGTAAAAATGATTCTAATCTTTTTTGAAAAGTTATTTGCACGAATGGTCATTATCTGTCGCAAATCTTTCTTAGATTTAAATGATAATGATGATTTTTTAGTTTCTTTTGAATTTTTTTCTATTATTTTTTTTCTAGCTATTAATGCTTCGTCAATACTCTTGTCAACTACATTTGCAGGTATTTTATCATGTAAACCTTTAAGCCATAATTCCAACCATACTACTGTTCAAAGAAATTTACGATCTCTCCATACACATGAGGTTTGTAATTTTTTATCCTCATTCTTAGGATCTTTCCCTTCTTTAACATCTATGTATAATTTAAGTTTTTCCTTGAGCGGAAGAGGTCAATTTTTTTAATTTTTTTAAATTTGTAAAAAAAATGACGACTTTTGTTCCATCTAACAACTGTATTATACGTGAATCTCGTCAATCCAAGCCATCTCTTCAATATCTTTTTCTGAGAATGATTAGGATATGTTTTGATTGCTAACGTTCGATTCACAGAATTTTTAATTTTTCTTTTTTTTTTGCTTCATGCTTTAATTGTTTTTTTTTTTCCTTTCCCGTTATTTAACTCTTCATATTCGACAGATGAAGGTTCTGATTGCAAAGTTATCTTGTGATAATTCATTTGTGGCAGCAGAACATGGTTTGTTGACGAGAACCACGAATTTTGCAGAGTATAATGAGGATCTATATCCATATGCGAATCTGCAAAGTCTCTCATGGTGGGTAGCTATAATTTTTGAGACCATTCCTTAACTTGTTCGTTCCAATATGGTCTTATGCTCATTCTCAAAGCATCATATGAAACAGAATTTAAAAAAGAATATAAGCTCAATTGAAGACAAGAACTCAATTTTATAAATGATTTAAAAAAAGCTTGGAGGGAGGAGAAAATATCAAAACTCAAAATTTCTTGGTTTTTAGAAACCTTCTGATTCTAAAATACCTTTATTTATAAGGATTTTTTGAACTTTTTTTTTTTTTTATTAAGCGAGCTTCCAGATATTAGGTATATAGTATTTAACACAATTGTATGACAATTACAAATTCGATTACTTTAGAACTTGTAATTGTTAAACATGATTATTTTAGAACTTTAATTGCCTAATATTTGTTTCAAATCTGATAGTTTGGGATTTAGTAGATTCCCAAAGGTTTTTACTAGATTTGATAATTGTGTCGTAACTAAGTTGTAACCAAAATTTATATATCGCTAGCTAGAGCGTAGTGATAGGAATTTAACAATTTGTTAACGAATTGTTAAACTATATAAGTTGTTAATTGTTAAAGGGATTTATATAGTTAACAATTCATTAACAATTGTTAATAATTAGAAATTCCCATCGCTACTAGAGCGCAAATCATAAGACAAATAAATTGTCATTGTCTAGTGATGTAGGAGAATTATTTTCACAATTGTGGAAATAATTCTCCTGCATCAATAGACAATGACAATTTATTGTCGCAGATCATAATGAAATCGGATTAAAATGAAACTGGGGACCTTTCTTGCTCACCTTTAAAGCTTATAAAACCCACTTATACTCTTTTATTAATAAAACTAACTCTAAACCCTAACACTAACACTAACCCTAACCCTAAAAAATGTCCCCCAAAAAATTTTAAATTTTTCTAAAAAAATAGAAAAATTTCATTTTAATCCGATTTCATTTTAATCTGTCACATTTATTTGTCTTATGATTCACGCTCTAGCCAGCGATAATTACAAAACAATTGTCGGATCTAGTAAAGACCTTTGGGAATCTACTAAATCCCAAACAATCGGCAGACCTGGTCTGGTCTTAAGACTAAGAATAGACCAATTTTTTAGGTTCAGACTGGTCTTATATCGATATACACGTATATTTTATATTACATGTTGCAGATAAATTTTATTATTTTAAATGTCGACACATTCAACCTTATTAAATTTTCATTGAATACTTGACCAACATCTTTGGTGTGTTTAGAAATTTATGAAAATGATTGTTCTTCTCAACAAATAGAACTTGACAAGAAACGGCCCGGAGACGTGGATTCAAAACCATAGATAGTAAAAGACGTGTCGAATTTGTCAAAACATATTGAATTTTATTAAAAAAGGTTGCTTTTTTTTTTGCACTACAAACGCGAAAAATTTTTTTTACATATATCTCAGTCGCTGTACTTAATTTTCAAGTTATAAGAAATTATTTAATTTTGCATTAGCTTCTATAGCTTTTTCTATGCAAGAATATTCACGTGACTGCGAACGTGTAGTTGGCATGCCTTAATAATTTCTACAATTTCTATAGCACATAAACTCCAAGAATGACAATGGTAATATTGAATTGAATTTCATTAATTATTAATAATAAAAATTGTATTGAAATTCGGTAATTGAAAATTAGTTGAAAGAATTACAAAGGCATATAAAGGAACTTGAATAAAAAGATATTTATTATTATTTGGGATAAAAGTAGATAAAAGTAGATAGACAAAGACTTATATCACTTTTATGATATTAATATTATTTCATTTTATTTAACAAGAATTAAATATTTACAAACTTTAAGAACTTATAAAAAGTAAAAAACGAAAATAAAACCAATAAAAAGAGTAATTGCGCTAATATGTGGTGAAACATTAGCAGCAGAATTAGTCTTAGTATCGCCTGTCACTTTAATGTCAGCACATTGATACCAAGAACCATTACCACTAGCAGGAGTTAATGCGAAAACAGCTTGAAGAACACCTTGAGAACCAATAGTTGCGTTAGCTCTCGTCAAGTTGACACTAATTATCTTTTGAGCATTCGTGAGCGCTGAATACGTTTGATTATCTTTGAAATGAGTTTACTTTAGTATACTATACTTTACACGAATTTTAATTTACCCACATATACTACTGTCTAGCACTGTATAAAGTATCCTCAACGAATAGTACCCCATGATTAAGACCGGGTATTATTCATCGCCCATCTGACTTAATTCTTGAATAATACCCGGGGGTATAACTATATTCAATTTATTACTTTAATATTATATATCCCCTACATATAATACACAGTACCCGCGGGTAATATTCAATTTAAAAAATGGAGTTCTTGAATAAGACCTTGGGTACTGTATACAGTGCTAAATGGTAATATGATTTTTTACCTGACACTTGAATAAAAGTGGAATTTTGGGTGGGTGCGTAATAAAAGGTAAGTGTCCCATCACCATCCTCGAAGTAACATGTAGCTTGACCTTGTGCTATATGAAATAAATAAATGTTATTAACGTTATCAAAATGAGAAAACAGCGAGAGAGTTCTAATAATTTTAACTTACAAATAGGAAAATCAGTAATATTGCCGACAGAGTCAAACCCACCACAAGGAGCAGTTGGTTCCTTAGCGTCTTCGAAGCCTCTCGGCTTAGGAGCTTGCAATTGGAAGTGTGCGTTTACGACATTAAAAATAACAAGGAGAACCAGAAGGTAAGAAATGATGGACTTCATATTCATTATTTAAAGTTAAAAACCTAAAGCTTTTGGAAGTACGTACATATTTATAATTTTTTTAAGTATATATATATATACTTATTTAAGCATTTTAATTATATAAATTCATAAAGTTCGATTAGATTAAGATTTATGTTACAAGTTTTCTATTTTTTCCGTGCATGTGTTACATGAGTACACATTCAAGGGGTATGGGGGAAAGTCTGTGTTGCTGGATCTAAATTTTATCTTGAATTTTTTGTTTACCTTTTTTTATATTTCCATATTTATTTCTTACTCATTCCCAAATTAGAAGCAAACAAAGCGAAAAGTACTACGTAAAAAAGAACGTAAAAATGGTGAAAATGAGTAGTAAAAAAGAATAATTACATATTAGATGAGATTATGAGACATAAGATTACTTTTTTACAATTCAATTAATTCAATTTCTAACGCTAAATCTTTGATTATGATCAAATGTCGTAAACATTATTTACTTAAAATGATTGACGAAAAAAATTGATTTTTTTTTATATTGCAACAGCGTTAGCCGAATGAACTTTATGTTAAACTTTTATATCATACAAAAAATATATATACTGATTTGGCTAATACAGTAATAAGAGCTTTGTACGAATATCATTGAGCGCCGTTTATAGTATGTAATTAAAAGCCTGGGTATCATTCAACCTAATTCTTTGTTTATTATATATTTATTTTTTATATTAAACTTGCTTCTAATTCCTAAACTATTATGAAAAGTGTAATAGATCATTATTAATAAAAGAAAGAATATTTTACAAAAATAGGCGTAAATATTAAAGGGTTGTGACCAAATATATACCGGGTTTACATAAACGATGTCAAACTATATATGAGATAGATTTCACTTCAAAATAAATATTTCTACGTATCAAATTTAATTAGATGGAGTTAACCTGCATATTGGCAAAATTTCAAAGGCACAGCACAGTACGTCGCTTAACATCAATGTAAGAACAAAATTTAGAGATGATTAACCTATTATGGCACTCATTTCAAACAATGTAATGATTTTAGCGATTCTTTTTAAATGTCAATTTATGTATGTATGTACGTATGTACGTACTTTATTGATAAAATAACAAATACTGTATTTGATGTTACAATGAACCATAGCCCTTAATACGATACAGTACGTTTCACAGCAGAGCTATTCAGATAAACTTGCAAGTACCCCTAATTTGACGAAGTTTTAACCCGCGAATAAGGAGTCATAAGAAAATTATAATATTAATAACATTGGCTTTTAATACAATGCGAAGCATGTATGTACGTACTTACAGTATAAACGCACATATATATATAATTTCTCACTTTAATATAGACTAAATTACTATATCTATTCAAGTATCAGTACTTAGGGTTCTGCTGAGACTAAAATTTCTACATATAATCGGCAAATTTTAGAGTTTAAAATATTTTATATTATATTATATACAGTATTTTAATCTCAGTCGATCCATTTTAGATCCTATCACTGCCGATGTTTCCGATGCCACTTTCTCAAAGTATCGTTTCTTTGCTGATAATCTTATTTTTTGACAAGACATATTTTTAACTTCCCGACAGCCTGATTCTCGGCATGAAATATAATAATATAGTGCGAACAGCCTAGTCACATAAAATATATTGTTTGAAGAACATTATGAATCCCGAATAATATTAACAGAGTTATATTGGAATTTCTGAACTTTATCCACTTTTCTTGAATTAAAATTTTTTTTAACTACACTGGCGATCATAAATAATGGAACAAAAAAAAAATTTTAGTTAGATCGGATTATCTCACGCATTTCCGGGCGTATCCGCTAATTTTTTTTTTTGTTTAATTCGCAAATAGCATAGTTTTCTAGTCCTAGAATTTTAGCGGTCATTATTATTGCGAATGCAAAAATAATCACGCATGTATCATGAAACACGTGTTGCATTATTTTTGCTCGTTTTTAACAACAATCAGATCATGTGACCTGTGTCACGTAAATATATATACAAATGCAAATCACGTTGTTGATTCTGCATTTTGTACAATGTTAGACTTGATTGATAATCGGGTCAGAAAAAAAAAGAACCGAACAACACCCTCTCAATGAGCCCAAATTCTACTTTTGCTTCAAAAGGGGTCCACCACAAGGGCAGTGGGTCAGGCCCACAATGTTAGTTTTCCCACAGTCTTGCGAATCAAAAAAAAGTGATTAGAAACCCGCTCGCTTGAGGATTTAGGAAGGGTTGGTCGTCCAACTTTGTTGAGCGAACCAGCCCAACGAAAAATAGTAAATCTCATTACCTCCCATCGCTGCTCCACTGCCATTGAAGTGAGATCTTACCTCAAAAAAAATGAAAATATTGTAATTTTGGTGTCTACTATTCGCAGAATACTTCGAAACCATGGGTTGGTGTCGGGGTTAAGAAAAAAAACCCCTACCTAAGCAATTGTCATCGAAAAGAGAGGCTTAACTTCGCAAAAAAATATGAAAATTGGATGGTTGAAGAATAGTCAAAGGTAATTTGGTCAGACGAGTCATGGTTCCAAATTTTCGGGTTAGACAGTAAGCAGTATTACTGGAAGCGTCATGGAGAACCGTTAAACCAGTACCATGTTAAGCCCACTGTAAAATATGGAGGTGGTTCAATTATGATTTGGAGGTGCTTTTCCTCTTGTGGCGTCAGCAGCTACTGTAAGATCGATGGTTCGATGGATGGCGATTTGTATTGTCAGGTACTCTGCGAAGATTTGATGTGGATGATCAGGGATCATGAATTTGAAGTCGGGGAAGTCGTTTTTCAACAAGATGGAGCATCTTGTCATATGGCGACCTTGACTAAACGGTTGCTTAAAAGAAACAAGGTAAAGTTTTTTTGACTAGCCCCCCAATCAGCTAATCTAAACCCAATCAAACACTTGTGGGACGAAGTTGACCGTCACCTTAGAGACCTTTCTGGTCAAATTTCAAGTGAGAAGGACCTCTGGAAAAAAATTCAAGTGGTCTGGCAGGCAATTGATGTTGAAACCTACATGAAGTTGATTCGTTCAATGCCAGAACGAATCCATGATGTAATCAGGGCTTGGGGTGGCTACACCAGATAGTGAAGGCCAAAAATTATTAGATAAAAAAAATAATTTTTTTATTTTTATGTAAAAAAAATTTTTTTAGTTTTATGGTCATGTTGCTGTAAAAACGAGCAGAAATAATGCAACACAACATTTGAAATAAAGCTCATGCCTGCGGAAAATTTTGATCATTTATTTTTTTTAAACTTTTAGTCGATGAAAAATATGCTATTTGCGAATTAAAAAAAAAAAAATTAGCAGATATGCCCGGAAATGCGTAAGATAATCCGATCTAACTAAAATTTTTTTTTTGTTCCATTATTTATGATCGCCAGTGTATATAGCAATCTTTTATGATCGTAAATTTTCTTGAAACTTGATATCTTTCACATCTTTATATTTTCAACAATTACATATTAAATAGTATTTTAGAAATACTAATAGAAGAATATTCTAATAATACATGATTAATATCCTCAAAAAGAAACCAATGAACTATTGCAAACAACTGATATCTTATGATTTTTTTCAAGTTCTTTTCTTTAGTAGTTTGTTTAAAAGTTTATGGGAGGCATATTATTTTATTTTATTAAATATTATTAATTGAAAATAATTATTTACAGTAATATCATTTAAGAGTTTTTTAAAAAATTTAACCGATAATTTGTAATTCTTTATTAATTTATTATAGTATCATTTAATAACAATACATTATCAAAAAAAGGGTACACATTTTATCTCTGGATAACTCCTATTTCATTTTCTGTTTTCAAATTTCAAAACAGAAATAGGATATTTTGTACCTCTACTTAATTTGAATCACCTCAATGAATCAAAACTTATTGAATCGGCAAATATTCTGTCGATCAATTTTGCAAGATTTTCAGAATTTATGAAAACAGCTGTAAATAGCATTTTTAAAATGGATACTATAGACGAACAAGCTAGAGGTTCCTTAGTTAGTTGTTAGATTAACCGTTTCAATATTTTCATCTGATTTATCTGATTCATACTGATTTGCTCTTTGCTCTATATTTTAAATTTTCATTATAATTTATACTACATAAATAAAATAAATAAATGAAATACTTTTATATGCAGTATAAAAACTTGGTTGTTTGGAATTATAGCTTGAATTATATTTTCCTTAGTCCAGTCAATAAATTTTTGTTCATATCGAACTTATTTTTTTTTTAGCGCCTCCTTGTGTAATATATTTATTATGAAAGCTTATTCAGAACCCATTTTGTTTTGCTTGACAAGAACAAACATCGTCATAAATTTTCGTACAGACTAAACACACCAAACCTTGTAGTATCATTCAGAATACAATCGCAAAAAAATATCACGTCCAAATTAAAAGTTTATCAAAAACTTATCGAATCGGTCAAATAAACATTCGGTCAATTTTTTTACCAGATGCCCCAAAATTAATGAAAACAGCTGTAAATGACTCAACAAAATTAAATCAGGTTATAGCTGTTTTCATAATTCCGTAATTTACCGAATGATTTTTGGCCGGTTAGGATAAGTTAGTGATTTCGGCAGGATTAGTATATAAAAGATAATATTTTATATTACATGTAATGCTGCATTATAATTTGTTCATAGTTTCTATAGTAGTAATTGTACCCGGATAACTCTTTATCCGAAAGGGTATAACCTTTAATAAAATCCAATTGAAGTAAAAGGATAACGGTTATACCCTAGGTTTAGAGTGTCCAGAAGTATGATCCAATAAATGTAAACATATCGGCAGATTTTCAGAATTAGGTTTACATTAGCGTTGCTAACTTAATTAATTTTAGATGCTAAAATAATTTAATTTACAAAAATATTATAGTTTTATAATCATAAAGATCGCATTATATCATAATTAAATATAGAATTATAAAAGCAAAAATTATATAATAATAATAATTGTCACAGATAATGTTTATTTCTCAGAATATTTAATGGTGTAATATAGTGATGAGTCATAATGATACTGATAATGATAAACTTAACTTTGTTTTTATTATTGTAATAGTAATAATAAATTTGATTAATTTTTATTTTCAAACTTGAATTTTATTAATATCGACTTCTGTAAATTTGTTTTTAAAAATGTTAAATCAATTATCTCAAGATGATACATATCTAGACGAACAAAATGATACATATTCAAAGGAACAAAATAGAACAATAAACCGAAAAAATGCTGGCCGACCAAAAGAAAAAATTTGGAATTATTACATAACAAATAACAATGATCGTAGTGCAACTTGTTATTACTGTCCAAAAAATTCGAGTTATGGATGTCCTGCAGAAATGAAAGCCCATCTTGCAAACATTTGTTTAGAAGTTCCTAAAGATATAAAAGAATATTGGCAGGAATTCACTTTCTGAAAAAATTACTAATTACAAGTGAACAAAAAAATCAAATCAAAGACAATTAAATCATCAGGATCTTAATTAAATTTGTGACATATAATTGGATTGTAAAAGGTTTACAATCAGATATATAGCATAAAATTTCCAACATTAAAAGAATTCTAGAGCAAAGTGATATTAACGGTATTAATAATTGATACCGTATTTTCGCGAAATAACGCACAGAGGTGAAATTACAAATTTCGGCCTAAATTAAGCTTAATTCGGGCCAAACCTCTAAATAACGCCCATGCCCATTATTTCACGAAAATACGGTAATATAAAAATTCCAATCAAGAAATAATAATATACCAGTATAACCTAATATATGCAACACTAAAATTATTTATTGATAATCTGTATAAATAATACAAAACTAATTTTTATTTTTGTGATAATTCTAGATAAATAATACGAAAATTAATTTTCGATTTTTGCAATATTCTTGTAATTAAATATGCTAAAATATTATTGTTTTTGATTTTAGCTTTTATAATACAAACTTAATTTAATTAAGTTAGCAACGCTAGTTTACATGGGTTGTAAACGAACCCGTATGTATATAAAAATAATTTGAGTAATTAACAATATAACAATACAAAATTGAAATTTAATTTGTAAGCGATATTGACTCCTTAAATTTTTTTATATGGGTTTGTTTTACAAACCCATGTAAACCCAATTCCGAAAATCCGCTGATATGAATTATGCGTGCGGCAAATATTAAATATTCGAATTATGCGGACTCCAGAATTAGGGTTGAAAATTATAGAAAAGTTTAATTAGTGTTGATAGAAGATATGTATTTATGAATGGAAGTTAACCCAATAAATGTGTTAGAGGGAATTCTAGCAACATGTACAAAAGATCAATATATTTGCCTTGCTTATATTTTAGACTTGTTTAAATTCATTTAGATTTGTTTAGACTTGTTCTCATTTATAAATAAAGACTTCTGTGCAATTCATAACTTAACTCTACGTAATAATTTTATACGATATTTATTTAGTTTACTATCCTAAGACTACCCTAGCATATATGATCTGAATTAATGATACCTAATTAATGATGAAACAGTTTCGTCAGAGCATTGAATTGATGAATAACGAATGACAAAACTCATAACAACAAAGCTCATAACAAAGGATGAAACTCATAACGAAACATACATTTTATACTGTATGGCAAATGTAAGAAAAATTAAAGGTAGTTTATTCTTTAATAGTCATTAATGGAAATCAATTAGTCCATGTGAACTTAATTATTTGTTCATTATCATATTTATCCAGTTTCCTTTTTTTTTGTTTTTTGACATCTTTATCTGATATTCCCCGAAGAGACTGAATTGACGAAGCTTTAACAGGAGGAAATGTTGATATTGCACGACTGATTTTACACATAATGTGCAACACATAAAAAATTATTTTGCAATACTTGATCAGTCCGCTAGTACATGTTATGATTATAATTCAACAAGATTTTTATTATAATAAAATGGAGTTGGATTATAATCATAACATGTACTAGCGGACTGATCAAGTATTGTAAAATAATTTTTTTATGTGTTGTACACTATGTGTAAAATCAGTCGTGTAACATCAAAGTTTCCTTCTGTTCGAAACTTTATGAAGAAATAATGGTAATTTGAAAAATCTGAGATTTAGAGAAACTTGTTGAAAGATGGACAACTGTGTTTTTATATTTTATTGGTCAAATTAATTTAGTAAAGAGCTTCATCAATTGTCAGTAGTTACGTCAAATAGTCAAGTTTCATCAGATGAAACTATATCGCCAGCACAAAATAGTTTCGTCAGGAATCATTAGTCTAATTGCTCTCCTTCTGATAGTAACACCAGCATAGTCCAATAGCAATGTGTAATGTGATGCTTTTTGAAGGTCATTTTAGATTTTCACGTTCAATTGCATAGCCTTAATGAAGCCTCACCCATTTTGTCATTATTTGTTTAGAATTTAATCATAATTATTAACTTCATTACTTATTTGGTTAGCAGATCCGAACATTAATAACATAGCATGAGGAAAATACGAATCATATATAATGCGCCTCATTCTGAATAACAGTTATTTATATTTCAATTTTCAGTAACAACTTGAAACTTTTCAAAATGAAAACATTGCCAAACGGTATCATTCTTGATTTTGCAAAAAGTATTTAATAAACTTGTGTTCGAAAAGTGAAGTATTTATACTGTAGAAGTTATTTAATACTGTATTAACTATTTAAAAAATTCTTTAATTATTACAAATTTTGGTAGAAGCATTAATTTATACTTATATACACAATGGACAAGTTAATTGCTATACCAGCCTGAATTTTAAAAATAAATTATATATTAAAGAAAATATGATTGAATGATTTATATATTTAATGATTAATTAAAGGATCCTTGGTGATATGAGATATTTGTTGTATGACCTTTAATAATTATTGAAGCTTAAGCAAACACACTCCCAACAATAGTAGCAATACCTAAACAATTTGACTAACCACATTATACATACCTTTTAAAAATTTTAATCTTTTGGTTATTACTAGTTTTAAAATCTATTTTAGACCAAATTTAGTTTCACAGCATGGTAATTAAATAAGATTATTAATAAGCTTAATCTACAATATAGTTCGTTATCACTTGCATTAAACTTGATCAAAAAACATAATAATTTTGCATACCTTCATTATCTACTTCCAAATTAATAAAAACTAACAAATAAATAATAATCTATTATTAAATCAAGCAATTAATATATAGATTATAAAAAAAAAAAATTATATACCTTGACTATCGATTTTAATAGTACAACTAGTTGAATTTTCAAGAGTATAATATAAAATCTTTTTTGATACTTTTGGTGGTTTATTATTGATTATTTTAACTGCAGATTTATTCTTCAATAAGATTTACAATTGTTTTTCGAGTTCTTTAGAAATTGCATTTGCATCAGGTCGATTTAGATGATCTTTATCCCAACATGAATTCATCAAAGTTGAATACCAAGGCGGTGTTTCTTTAGCAATTAAAGGCAGAACCCCATTGAGAATACTTAAAACTAAATAATTATCATGGATAATATTATGAAAAGGTGGCCTTTATGAGAAAATTTCCCACATTATCATTCCAAAACTGTAAATGTCGGATTCTCTATTTAATCTTTTACACTTCAGAACCTTGGGAGCAATATAAGGAAGAATACCATATATTGAATCAGTTTGTTTATTAACTGGTTCACAGAGACCAAGATCACCAATAGCCCAATCTTTAGTAGATTTATATTGAAAAATATTTCCGGAATGCAAATCTCCATGAACTAAACCAACTTTATAAAATGAAGTGATAGAAACAATAACATCATAAAGAATCAAAATTTTCTGTAAAAAGGTAATAGATGAATAATTTTCTTGCAAATATTCATACAAGCTATATCCCATAGAATAAAGTACAAGCATATAATTTTGTGTTTCTGGATCTTTTGTCAAACCAAAACAATTAACAAGTTGAACTGCATCAATCGTAAGCGTAAGATGTGTTTCAATCTAGTTTGAAAGAAATTTTTAACATGATTAGTATTATTTGAATAATGTATATTACAAATGTTTTGTCTAGTGCTCTTAAGTTTTAAATATGCAAAATTTAATTATATTAGATATATTGATTTAAATTTATTTAAATCTATTCAAATAAAATGGAACAATATTTATGATATGTATCAAAAACTATGAAATGATAAATTACCTCACAAATCCATTCTTCGCTAAATTTTTTAGAGTCATTTAAGCATTTAAGAATTACAAGTTCTTTTCCATATCTGAGAAGTTTTTGATTTTCCCATTTAAAAAACCAACCATTTTCCCATTCAGCCATATAAATAGTCGCAGAACCCCCTTTTATTTTATATTCAATATTTGTAAACTAATCATAAGATATCCACTCAACAATTGCATCTAGTCTTATTGTTGATAATTGGCATTTTTGAATGAAATTATCAATGACTTTATCACCAGATGTCCAATTTGTAAAATTGTTTTCCAAGTATTTTCTAATACAATATTCACAATTTGCAAGAGAATTAGTCCAATTTTGACAATAATCACACTTTTTTTTTTCCTCTTTCTGATTTTGGACATAAAATCAGTCAAACTCTAGGTCTAACATTTCAAGTAAGAAGTTCTTTTCCAGTTGAAGGAGATCTTTATCTTCATTTATTGACTTTTTCATAAATTCTATTTGTTCATCTCTAGTCGGATAAACATTTTGGTCAAGGAGAATAGTAGCTTTTTGATATGTTAGATGTGCAACATCAAACCGAATTCCATCTAATTCCCATGAATAGCTATTAGAATAACATTTCAAATAGACACTAATTAGTTTTTTCTTTACTTACCAATTTGTGTTGACCAAAGCTTTCCACCACGCAATACTTCATCCTCCATTAGGCTTTAACGGAATACAGAGTTTGAATTTTATACATAGTATACAGTTCATCAGTTATTTGTATCATAGTATAGGTAATCTCATAAATTCTGACACAACTATATTAATATAAAAATAAAAGTTTTTATATATAATAATTTATTTTATTAATTTTTTTTTAACTTTATCTTTTAAAAAAGCAATATATTATAATATTAAGTTATAAATATTAATTTTTTATATTTATATTAAATATTTTTAATGTGCAATTTTTTAGGTTATTAAATAATATTAAATTTATTTACTTATTAATTAATAATTATTATTTTTATTATGCAAATTATAATTTATTTATAAGACAAAAATATTCTTCATGATTATTTTATATATAAAATAAAAGTTTTATAAATTTTAAAAATTTTTTATTAATATAATTTTTAGATTAAAAACTAGTCAATAAGAAAAAAATATACTAGTGAAAACAATCTTGAAGATAATTCTATCACAAATAATTTATCTGAAGTTGATTCTAGTATGTTAGAAATTGAAAATAGCATTAATCTGGATCAATTTTTAATATAATATATGCTTATATAGTAAGTTAATAAATTTTATAAATAATAAATTTTTAATTAATATCACATTAAAATTAAGATTTAGAGAATCATTTTTTATGTTTATA